TCTCTCTAAATGTGTGTATGTGTGTGTGCATCATCTAAGATGGGACCCATTCTCTGGTTAAACTGAAGGAATTGGCCTCCAACACTACGTATCTTCAGCTGCTTAAAACCTTTAACATTTACTTTCATTTTCATTTCAAGAGAAAAGAAAATAAGTATCTGATCATCTGATCCTTGGAAGAGACTAAGGGATCCATCTGGATGTTGGGAATCTGGTCACTTGCATGTAGGGAAAGCTCACAGGAAGCAAGTTTGAAGTTTTATGGCATTGATTCATTATTTTCTTTAACACATTAAACCTCAGTTCTAAAGCAGATGACCAAGTGTACTGACAACTGAAATCAAGCAACTTCATGACTTCAAAGCCCAGTAGAACCACGTTTCTGCCCTCACTTAACCACAACACTGGGACTGCAGAGAGACACAGATTCTCTGCAGTAACTTGCAACCCCACCATTCAATCAGATCCTTATTGTTGCTGTTAAGTGCTGTCAAGTGGGTTCCAACTGATAGCAATCCTGCATAGGGTTTCCAAGGAGAAGCGGGTGGGTTTGAACTGCTGACCTTGTGATTCACAGTCCAGTGCTAATCCAAATGTGCCACACCAAGAGTCCATTCAATCAGATTAGGGAGTTCAAATGAAGGATATTATTTTTTCCTCAAACAGAGAAACAAAATAAACACATCAAGTACTAACTACCTTAGTTAAATCCTTTGTTGAACTTGCAAATATTTATGAGATAAAAAATAACACATGACCAAATGCTTTGATGTTCTACAAACAAATACTTTCATGTTTTAAAAAACAAAGACTCATTCACCAAAATAGAAATAATGAGCTTTATGAGTAAACAACATGTTGCCAAGCATCCAGAGAGAAATAAAAGGAACAACAGCAATCTAAGGAGAAACAGAACAAAAGTAAGCTAAATATAATACGGAGTTTCTCATTAATCACAGAAGTCTTCCTGGAAGAGGCAGCTTTTACAAGAAAGAGAATCTCCTTTTGCTTTCATAGAGGAAAAATAGTCTGTTTCCACAGATGGCATTCTACAAGCTGGGCGACTTACAAGGCTCATTTATCTCAATTTTATATGAGTCTCATATCGGTTGACTTCTTGATTGGATCTTACTGTTTTATTAGAAAAATTCAAATTGTTCTGTGAACTATATGATCTTAAAATATCTGCTCTATATTCAGTTAGTATAGGGATCCTATTTTCCTTATTAAAATCCAATTCCAGCAATGTTTCTGATCAGAAGCACTGATCAGAATTTTTATCCATTGATTCAAGTCCATGGGAAAATCTGATGTGATTCATAGAAAATCACATTCAGATATTTTTATATTGTTTTCCTAATCATAGCATGACTTAATGTATCAATCAATGCATGATACTCCCTCTTAAATTTAAGAAGGAAGGATTGATGATAATAACATCATTAAATTTTATATACACTTTAGAACACTTCTGCAAACTCTCTTAGATTTGAATTTCACAATATTCTGGTGGGTTAGGTAGACTAAGATATTGTTAATCCTGGTTTATAAGAAAAGGAATGGTGGCCTAGAGAAGGCCCAAGTTCTACAATAAGTCCAAAAAGCCCAAGTTTAGACAACAAGCCAACAGCACAATCAAGTTCTATACTTTTCCCACAATCTCGCATCTATGCTACTGTAAAAAAATAACTCAGAGAAACCACATCAGTGGTAGGTAACAACAGTAGCAAAAACATGAACAGATGTAATTTGTTAAAGTGTGCCAGGCACTGAGTGTGACACATACATTATCTCATTTAATCATCACTTAAAATAACATTATGAGTAGATACTGTCTCATGTTATGGACACAGAGAGCAAGTTTCAGTATGTCTTCTGACATCCATTTTGACCTTTTCCTTCTTTCTTGTCTTCTCAATGATTTTGCTTTCTTCATGTATGATATTCTTGATATCATCCCACAACTCTTCTGGTCTTCGGTTTTTAGTGTTTAATGTATCAAATCTGTTATTCAGATGATCTCTAAATTCAGGTGGGATATATTCAAGGTCATATTTTGGCTCTTATGGACTTGTTTTCATTTTCTTCAGCTTCAGTTTGAATTTGCATATGAGTAATTGATGGTCTGTTCCACAGCCTGCCCCTGGCCTTGTTTTCACTGATGATATGGAGTTTTTCCATCGTCTTTTCCACAGATGTAGTCAATTTGATTTCTATGTATTCTATCTGGTAAGGTCCATGTGTATAGTCATCTCTTATGCTGTCTAAAGAAGATTTTTGAAATGAAGAAATCATTGGTTTTGCAGAATTCTATCATGCGTTCTCCAGCATCATTTCTATCACCAAGGCCATGTTTTCCAACTACTGATCCTTCCTCTTTGCTCCCAACCTTTGCATTCCAATCACCAGTAATGATCAATACATCTTGATTGCATATTTGATTGATTTAAGATTGAAGAAGTTGGTAGAATTCTTCTATTTCATTCTCAGTGGCTTTAGTAGCTGGTGTGTAAATTTGAATAATAGTGGTATTAACTGGACTTCCCTGTATGCACATGGATATTATCCTATCACAGACAGTGTTGTACCTCATGACTGATCGGGATATGTTCTTTTTGACGATGAATGCAACACCATTCTTCTTGAATTTGTCATTCCCAGCATAGTAAACCACGTGTTTGTCAGATTCAAAATGGCCAATACCAGTCCATTTCAGGCCACTAATGCCTAAGATATAGACGTTTATGCACTCCATTTCATTTTTGACAACTTCCAATTTTCCCAGATTCATACTTTGTACATTCCATGTTCAGATTTTCAATGGATGTTTACAACTGTTTCTCTTCATTTTGAGTTGTGCCCCATCAGCAAATGAAGGTCCCATGGGCTTTTCTCCCACAGGTTTTACTCCATTCGCATTATCACAGTCAAGTCTACTTTGTCGCATTTTGTCGCAAGTCTTCCTCAGTCGCATTTTGAGTGCCAGGGTCTCATTTCCCGGCACTATATCTGACAGTGTTTCTCTACTATTCATAAGGTTTTCAGTGTTTAAATATTCGGAAGTAGTTCATCACTCTTTCTTCCTTGTCTGTCTTTGTCTGGAAGCTCATCTGAAACCTGCCCACCATGGGTGATCCTGCTGGTATTTAGAACCACAGTAAGACAAACTGAGAGATGAGTGGCGGCCGTTTAGTTTTAAGTGGAAATTGTCACTTTAAATTTCAAGGAGATGTGGGCCTGCATAGTAGAACCCTCCAGGGGTGGGGGTGGGGTGTACATTCGCTCAGGCATCCCCTCTAGTCACCAGAATGGAGGTGCGCAGACAGTGAGAGACCATTGAACAGGTACCAAAAAAAGAATGTTCACACCTTATCTCTGCAGTTCTGTCAGGCGTTCGTGGCTGTTCTGATCCTTCCCCTGCTTGGTATCTCCCAAGGTGGTGGTTCCAGGAGTAGCTTAGTGTCTTGAATTAGAAAGCAATGGATTTCTTGATTCTGCTACAAATTCCTCTAGCTGTAAGCCTTCCAATCTTCTAAATATTCCTTTATATGTGGTTCAGAGTTCTAGCACCATCCCCTGAGCCTGCTTGGTCCAGTATTCTGTGTTGTTGGTGACGGAGCTCTTCACTGCATGGCTACCCAATCTGCCATCTTAGAATGAGGTCCTTTTTTTCATGGTAAACACTGCTTTATTGGTGGCAGTTAGTACAAGTGAATAAATATTGATCCCCAAAGAAGAGCTGGTATTTATCAGATTGCTGGTCCATAGAGCTCTGAATTAAACTAAACCAATTGCTGGAATGATAAATTGAAGTCAATCCTGCTTCTTGGGAATGATGCCATAGCCAACTGATATATGGCATACGCTGTTCCACCAACTGTAGGAATCATGGCAGCTCTATACAGGAGGACATCAACTGCCCCAGCCTTTAGATGCACTGGAATTCCATTATCCTCCTGAAATAGTTTTTGTTTCTATGGAACTTTATTTTCAAATGGTCTGCAGGAAGCAGTACTTATGGTCCTTTGGGCAATCTGATGAAGAGCCAACAGATTCCGCAGCATACTGGCTCTGTTTCTCCCCACCAACCGCTAAAAGTTGTTGTTTAGCTTTTAATGTCAATTGTTAGTGTAAATTTTCTAAGAGCAGGGATCTTTTTTGCCCCCTCCAAACATACCTCAAGTATTCATACAGTTCTATCTAATAGAAACTTTTGTGATGATGAAAATGTTTTGTCTGCCCCATCTAATACAGTAGCTATTAGTCATAAGAGGAACACTTGAAATGTGGCCAATGTAACGGAAGTAATCCATTTTTTATTGTATTATTTTAATTTAAATAGCCACATGTGCCTAGTGGTTATTATACTGTAAGGAGTGGTTATTATACTGTAAGGTAAAGGCTTAGAACAATGTGTAGCATAAATAAACTCCCATTAAATATTTGGTAAGTGAATACACTCATAAATACACTAACCAGACCTATTTTCCATAAAACCTAAGGACTACTCCCATCAAATACAAATGAAATTTGATACTTTATTCCACCAGAATGATTAAAATTAAGAAAACAGCCTGAAAATTCAGAAAATATGACTAAAATAGCCAGCACACAGTTCTCAAACTGTTGGCTTCTTTTTAACACTGTGATTTGAAAACTTCCAAAACATTTTTTTTTTTTGAAAGAGAGAAAGCAAACCAGCAGCGCAGCAAATAATGAATTCCCATGTAGATCTCTCTCTATATATATATATCTATAGGTAGTGGTTACGAATCGGGCTGCGAACCTTAAGGCCAGCAGTTCGAAACTACCAGCCGCTCCGCGGGAGAAAGATGAGGCGTTCTGCTCCCGTAAAGATTTACAGCCTCGGAAACCCTGTACAGGGTCGCTATGGGTCGGAACCGACTCGACGGCACTTAGCAACAACAACAACATAGATCTATAGATATAGATATATACACATATATATAATTACAACTATTATGATAATCACGCAATACCTTTTTGGCCTTGTTTTTTTTCTCATAGGCCTCTGACAAGGGTTTTTTCTTCTGCTGAGTTGTGTCTTTGGAGAATAAATACTCAAATTCACTAGGGTCCCGAATATCAGGTTCTTCTAAGGATTCCCACAACGTTGGGGCAGCATTTTGGCTTAAAAAAAAAAGATAATTACAAGTTAAACTTAAGAACCAAAATAGAGGAGGGTACAAAACAATAAAAATGGTTTCAATTCATTTTCCTAAATGCATTTTTAAAAACACATAAAATTGTAACAAATTTCAAAGAAAGTTTCTTTTCACATTATAAACTTCTTTGTTAAAGTAAAATATACTATAGGATACTAAAGCAAACACACATTCCCAAAAAAGGATCTGGAGGAATCGATATAAACCAAGATAGAGATCTAGAGATATTCTGCAATATGACTTCTAGGGAGGCAGGTTGTGGGACGCACGCACACTTGAGACACTGACTAAATATTCTTGCATAGACTGAAAATGGAGTTGTATAAGTAAAGATGAGATCCTCTTTGGATCTTTTCCTACTAGTTGTCAATATGGTTTGAGGATTAGCTCAGGTCAACTCAGCACAGAACCTTCAACGTGTGAACAGCTGTGCCCATTTTAAAATAATTGACCTTCCTCCCACGCCAAAAAAAAAACAACCTCAAAACAATAACAAGAAAATCAAATAAAAAACCTCTTCCGTAACACCATCCCCCAAAAGGATTTCAACTAAAGCAGCCATGTGGGAAAAGACTGTGTTTTTTGGTTTTGTCTTCCAGAGACTGGAGAGCCTTCATTTTGAAGTAGAGAGAAGGAAGATGCAGAAAATTCCAAAGCAGAGAAATTCCTGCTCTCCATTTCTTCAGTCAGGAAACATCTTCCAAATGTCTATTTTTCTTTTCATCATTAAGAAAAAACAAACATGTTAAATGCCCATGTTGTTGTTGTTGTTGTTAAGTGCTGTCAAGTCATATAGGGTTTCCAAGGAGCAGCTGGTGAGCTCGAACTGCTGACCTTGCAGGTCAAATGGCTTTGCAGTCTGGCACATTAACCCACAGTGCCACACCAGGACACTAATGTCCATGGAAAGAAAAAAAGGTCTCATCTTCACATTTACTGTTTTTAAGACATAAGCATATGAAGTTAAGATCTAAAGTACCTAAGTGTCTTTATCTTCATTACAGTACATATTTTCTCACTCTACAAAAACTTTAAAAAAATACAATTATATGGGATGGCCCACACATTTTTTTGAATATAAAAGACAATTTTCTTATTCAAAATTGTTGGCAAAGCTGACTTTTCAGATCTGTGTGTTTACACTTGGCTATAGGCCTATCCTGCCTATGAGATACAACATTTTGGCTCTGATTACATTTGCTTTTTCTTTCCTTCATTAAAAAAAAATTTTTTTTCTAACATTTTAATCTTTTAGGCATACAAACACACACATACAAGGGATTTCAAAACAGGTCATGGAAAATGGCATAGAAAAAGAATGGAGTTTTTTTCATGAAATCTCTCTCTCCCTCTCTCTCTACATATAGATAGATATAGATATATAGATATAGATAGATAGATATATGGAGCTCTGGTAGTTCAGTGGTTACGAATTGGGTTGCGAACTGCAAGGTCAGCAGTTCGAAACTACTAGCTGCTCCGCGGGAGAAAGATTAGGCTTTCTGCTCCCATAAAGATTTACAGCCTCAGAAACCCTGTTCAGGGTCGCTATGGGTCAGAACTGACTCCATGGCACTTAACAACAACAACATATATATATGCACATGGTGGCACCATATGATAAGCACTGGTCTATGGTTTGAGCCCTCCAGCTACTCTGCGGAAGAAAGACGAGGCGTTCTGCTCCCTCAAAGATTCATTGTTGTTTTTACGTGCCATCAAGTTGGTTTCCACTTATAGCGACCCAATATAGGGTTTCCAAGGAGCTAATGGTGGGTTTGAACCACTGACCCTGTGGTTGTCAGCCCAGTGCTTATCCTATTGTGCCACCAAGACTCAAAAATTTAAAGCCTTGGAAACCAGATAAGGATAGCTGTGAGTCGTCGGAATGGACTCAATGGCACTTAACAACACGTGTGTGTGTGTAAAACATAAAGGGTCCTTGTGGTACAATAGTTAAGCAATTTTCTACTAACAAAAAGTTCGGCAGTGAGAACCTGCCAATAACTGCACAGGAGAAAAGATTTGACGATCTATGCTGTACGGATAGCCTTTTGGGAAGTTCTACTCTGTCACACAGGGAATTACACACAGTTGGAATTACTTGATGGCACACAACAGATACAATATACATAAATTATAAAATATAATATAATAACTGCCTGGGAAATCTTCATCTGACCCAAGGGCTAGAGGTTTTGCAATGAAGTGCATCTATTTGGTCCTTCTTCAGTCATGCACCTCTTCCACTTTGTTTGTTTTTTTTAACAAACACGTAAGTCCTTGAATCTAAGTGTTTACCTCAGCTGTACTGAGAAAGGGAAATCTTGATTGGGACTGAAAGGCCAGTAAGTTGGGAGCATGCAGCAGGTTAAAGTCGGCTAGTCTGAGCTCACAAAGTTCTGAGCAGCTAGCTAAGGTGACTGTGGGAAGGAGGAGTTGATACAATTCCAATTGCACCCATTCCCCTGTTCTTGCACCTGTATTGTTTGGCCCAAGCTCCATGCACTCTGAACTCAGGCCAGGAAGACTAGTGTCGATAATTCACTCATGTTCTGGAATAAACTGGCTTTGGGATCAAATTGAGCACCTCATTACCATTTACAAAACTGATTCTATGCTTATTTCAAACACTGAATAAAAGAACTTTGGAACAGCACCTCTCCAAGAGTTGAGGGTAGCTTTCATTGAATGGAGCAATACTGGAGGACCCTGGAACAAGGCTTACAACAAGCCTTCAATTACAATGGTCAATTGTTTTCTAATCACTGAACTCAGCATTCTTGTTCAAATGAAAACAAACAAAAAGGAGGAAGAGCAAAAGAGGCAGGAGAGAAAAGAGGAGGAAGAAGAAAATACTTTAAGGAAGTAAAAAAGATAGTTTGATGAAGATCCCTTTTTCTTCAACTAATTATAACTTGCCCATTGTAGAAAGCAGGTATCAGTCACCAAAGAATGCAAAATGGAAAAACAAAACGAAACAAAAAACAAAATAAAACCTGTTCATGATGATTTTGCAAAGCAATCTAAGATGATGGACCTAATAAAGAAAATCTGTATTCTGCCTCCAAAACATCAAAATGTATAATGTGTCCATTATACAAAGTATTTAACCCTTTGAGTGCATGAACTATTAAAGACCATTTCACCTGCTTTATAAGGGCACACACAACAAAGTAAGTTTACCTTTTTTCACAAATGAATAGTAATGCCTGGGAGCTTTAGATCATCGGAGTTCAAAAGAAGCACCAGTGCTTCTTTTCTACTAAGAGGTACAAAAATATTTTGATGATCCATAATTAATCAGAGATTTAATGTGTGATGCCAGGAAGAAGCTGAAATCTTCACACATGAGAGAAGGGAATCCCCTCATTTTACATCTCAAACCTCAAGCTCAAAGCTGACAAGTTCACCATGCAGGATGCTCCTGATAGCGTGGGGAGGAGAAGTGATGTACAAGCATTCTGCTGTAGCGGAAGCCCTAGACTTAGGTGAAACCAATTAAAGCTTAAGTATTGAATTGTTTTCCTTCTCAAATGGCAAACTACCTGAGGAGGGAAACAGGCAGACAAGGATTATCTCATCTCTAGCTTGCCTTTCTACTATAATGACTAGGGGCAGAAGGGCCCTATTTCCCTGCAGTACTGTCATTACCCTGCTGCTATGGTCTATAGTGTTCATTGCTCAAAGAAGTCTCAAGGGGAACACAATGGCGGAAGGGTAGTGGACCACAGGTGTGGGACAGCTCCATGCAGCCCGAACTTTCCACTTGAAGACTGACAGGTGGGATTCGTCATCTTAGAATGACTGGTTACTAATTTGAGAACACTAATAAGGCAACATGACTCAAAAAAATACTCTGGGAAATTCTTAGGAAGTGTCATCTGAGTTTTGAATAGGAGAAAGGGGCATACTCATACTTCAGTTAATGGTAGGAGCAATTTCAAGATCATCTTATATGTTTTTTAACCATTCTTCTGGGAAATTAAAAAAGTATCAGGATTTCCATTAATAAACTCTTGGCCATTCTTTTTTGGTGAGAGGCAAGGGGATGCTTAATCAACTTAGTTTATAATATAGTTAGATTTAAAGGTATTCCCCAGTACTCTTATAATGATTTCCAGTTGCTTTACTTAATTGTGAATAGCATGTTATTTTGCTCAGTATAACTCCTGCCCCCTAGGAAATTTCTATATAAATTGACCTCCACACTTTGATTTGGGGGCTAAGTTAAAAAAATGAAGTTTCTCAAAATGTGTTCTGTATTTGCTGTTCACTGCAAACAAATGAACTTCTAGACGACAGAATGGTTATGAAGCAATGTGACAGCTCACACTTGTCTTCCTGAGAGGCTCACAGTGGAGGCAGAGCAGCTCAGTTTCAAATCTGTTTAAATCAGGCCATGAACTGTTTAATTCTAGATCCACCCCTCATGAGAATTTACATTTTCACCCCAGATACACTGTAACAGAATCTACATTTGATAACACTTCCTCAGGTGATTCTTATGTGCGTATAAGCGCTAGATGAGCATCTATAAAAATCACCTGGAGATCTTGTTAAATTGCAGATTCAGAATATCTGGGGTGAAAAGACACATTCTCAGCAGGGGTTCAAAGTGGAAGTTTGAACCCCTGGATTGAATGGAAGTTTCCAAACAACCACATCTTGCTGCCTTACAGACCCAGCTAAACAACTTACACAAATGCAAAACGCTAGCTAGCTATCCAAACATCAATACTTTCTCTGAAAGGCAAGAAGAGAAAGGAAACAAGATGTGAGTGCATTTAGCAGTTAGAGAAACCAGAGTTCAAGTGGAAAATTTTTATATTTTGAAATTTCTATCTGGCCTTGAAGTACAAAGACTCAGCTACATCTGGTTCTTTTCGTTAAAAAAAAAAAAAAAAAAGAAAATACACTATTAAGTATACAGACCATATGGCTAAGGATGCTATCCAAAGATAAGACAATCATAAAAGATACACTAGCAATTTTCCGTAAACCTGTTATACTGATTCAGGCTCCATTTCTTTATGATTACTCACTAATGGCAGGGATGTTGAAGAAGTCCAGTCCTAGCCTAGCCCTGGCCTCAGTTCCAGTCTGTAAAATGGACCATTTCTATTATAGAAAGATCTGAGACTAAAAACATCATCTCTTCCAACATTAAACCATAGGGAAGTTCTGATTGAGACAGACTTTTCTCTCAAACACTTCAGCCTTGCTTATCCAGGGCATTCATTATACCACATTTCCCTATAAGTGCTGTACTTAGTAAATACTGAGCTGTCAAGAGTGAAACAGTACTTGGGAAAATTTCTGGGAATTCAAAAGCTATGAATGGGCAAGGGGAGTTTAGCTTACCTCTTATCACTTATTTGTATTCTAGTCCAGTACAAAGGCTTCATGGGACAACTGGGCTCAATGGCTGGCTTTCGAGGACACTGGCTGGAAGGAGGCCCAATTCCAAAGAAAAGTCCAGGTGGAGGTGGGGGTGCAATTCCCGGGGGTGTTGGAGCAGGAGGAGGTCCCCCACTGGCAGGCAGAGGAGGTACATTAGGAAGTGGGGGTGGAGGAGGAGGCAGGGGAGGTCCAGCACTTGGAGGTAGCGGTGGTGGTGGAGGGGGCGGTGGTGGTGGTCCAGCACTCATAGATGGTGTAGGAGGGGCTAGTGGCAAAGTTCCAAGTCCTGGCGGTAGGGGAGGAGGTGGAGGTATGAGGGCTGGTAGAGGTGGGGCAGGAGGGGCAGGCGCTGCCTTCTGAGGATTAGATGAGCCACTTTCCACAGACTGAAGTGGCGCAGGGGTGTCTTTGTTTTCATTTGGGGGAGAAAGCTGGCTTAACGAGGATATATTGAGCTTTTTGGGTACTATTTGGTTACTTCTGGTTGTCTTGCTTTCACCTTCGCAGGGTTTGAGGAAGGTCTCCCTGTCTGTCTGGATGCACACATTTCTGTAGGTCTTTGGAAGACAGTCATCATCAGTGGAGATGCATGCATCTTTCATCTCTTCACACCCACCCCGCCATCGGTGTTCTAACTCATGCTTGAGATTCTTAATGGTTTCTTCTAGTCTTGTTGTGATCGCTGCGTGCTCGCCCCGAATATGAAAGGCTCGAAGTTCAAATTGGGCCTGGAGGGAAATCAGTGGGGGGAAAAGTTAAGAGTTTATTAAAAGAAAAAAGATAAATAGCAAAAAGAAAAAGAAAAACATCACTACTCTTGTGCCACCCAAGGAGCTCTGGAAGCATAATGGTTACGAATCGGGCTGCGAGCCATAAGGTCAGCAGTTCGAAACTATCAGCTGTTCCGCAGGAGAAAGATGAGGCTTTCTGCTCCGGTAAAGATTTACAGCCTCGGAAACCCTGTACAGGGTCGCTATGAGTCGAAACAGACTCCGAGGCACATAACCACCACCACCTGTGCCACCCTGGCTGGACTAGGCCACTTAAACACAGGGACATTCTTTCACGAATCCAAACGGGTATAAATTTCACTTTATGAATTTTCCAGGGACTTAAATAGTTGAAGTAGGAGAGTCATTTCATCCAATTTGAATAATTACCGTGGATTAAGGTTTAAAATAAAACTTGTCACCTAAGAACTTTCACCTGGTTTTAATATCAAATACAAACAAAACTTAATAACGGATTGGACATGCTTGAATATATCTTTTTAAACTATTGGCTTGCATTTGGAAAAATTAAACTATTAAAAAAATAGGTTTGGAGCTGCCATTCTCATAGTCATCTCTAGGATGTTTGCCTTTATGGGATTTCCAGGCCAGTACAAAAGCTGCAGAGGAGGAACCGAATTACATATGTATTTTATTAAAAATTACCATATCAAAGCTCCCCAGGATCAGTATTTTTGTCTTTTTCATAATCATTTATTCTATACCAATAAGTAATAAAAATGCATATAAATCCTGAGTATATTAAAGTTTGCTATTTTACTCCCTTCTACATACCTAGCATTTTAACCTCTATTTATTTAATAAGACACCAGCCTCCTCATACATATTCCTTCAGTTATTTCAATACTTTGAGTCTATGGTTTTATACTTATTAGCAAAGAGCTGGTGTACTCTCAGTAATTAGCTAGTTTATTTTCCAGCGTTCAAGGCTGTTTAGCCTATTACAGTTAAGTAGGAATCAAATTTATAATTTTATGAGTTTCCCAAATCCAATTGAACAGTAATTAAACATTTTGAGTGCATTTAATTTCTGCCTCCATCATCAGATTACAAACTTCACAAGATGTAATCAGTGGTGACAGTATTTGCCTTTACTTCTGTATCCCAGCACAGCGAGTATGTAGCATTATATATGGCTAGAGCTCTGCTCACCTTCATTTCTTCAAGAGTCATCCGAAGGCTAGCCAAGACATTTCTAAACTATAATTCCAGGCCCCAAATACTTAAAACACAAAAGTATAAACAAGTGCAGATTCCCTTTTCATTGTAAAAGTAAAGAAATATTTTTGTTGATAAGTGCCACTGAGTTCTGATTCATAGAGAACATGTATAGGGTTTCCAAGGCTATAAATCTTTGCGGGAGCAGAAAAATTCATATTTCTACCATAGAAGAGACTTGTGGGCATGAACTGCCAACCTTGAAGTCAGAAGTCCAGTGCTTATCCTGAAGTCACCACACTATCCAAAAGCCTAGTAGGGCAAGGTAAGACCATTATAAACAAACATTTGAATGATTTTACTTTAACTAGGCTTGCCTTTTATCATCGTCATTCTCATGAACCAGTTCCCAAATAGCTGTAATCAACAGAATTTAGAGACAAAGTTTTTTTTTTCTGATTATAATCTCTCTATATGGTATGGAGACAAGGCAGACTGGAGCCAATGCTGAAAGAGTTAGAGAGCTCAGGGTCCCATATATTTCTCAAATAGCACAGGGTGCTAAATGCCTGAGTTTTGCATTCATACTATCTGGTTCACATCCTGGATTAGTCAATTACTAGTTCTATGTCCTTGAACAGGGAAATCTGGGTCTTCAAACAAAGTGTCCTAAGTGTAAAATCAGGATAACAGTGAGCCATCTCTAGTCTTCTATAAAGGTAAAATGAGATACTTCATGCAAAGCAATAGACCTTACTTCCGGACCACAGTAAATTAAGAATACTGCTGTTAATGAACATATTAAGAGTAAAAGGCTAACCAAATTTTAATTATAATCATAAAATTCAAATAATTCTACCTTTGTTTAGTGATGTGCATAAAACTAGGAAAAGCTTAATCAGAATAAGTAACACACTACACACAGAGTTTGCTGAGCCTTTCATAAATTCCATTATCAATTGCACAAAAGGTACCTTGAAGCTTCATTCTGTGATCAAGATAGTCTTTGTTTCTCTCTCCCTTTTCCCCACAACCAAGCCTTGATTTCCTCCCTGAACTATTGGTCAAACACTTAACCAAATTTTAACAATTAGTTCAGTTCTGCCACAATAAAGTTAAACTCTTGGTTGCTATTCCCAACAAAATTTTCTTCAAAATTTTTAAGAAGGTAAAGATTCCTACAATTTTGATAAGCCAATAATTTTGCCCAGTATTCAACGTCTTAATGATATGAAAAGTTGCAAAGGCATGTTCCACAGAAAACTTTTCCTTCACCAGACAGCTGACCTGTATCTATAGTAAAAGACTTAGTCTTCACCTCTCATCATTTCTACCTCTCAAGCATGTGTCTGCTGAAGCTGCTAAAACTGGTGTGTAAACCTATACATTATTTTAATGGCTGAAAATTAATGCCTTTATTTATTTAGTAGAGCATAATTTGACCTTTCTGTGCCTCTGCTTTCCATAAGCAAAATGGGAATAACCAAATCCTTCACTTCAGGGATGTTATGAGAAAGTGACCACCTATGTAAAACAACATGTAAGAGAGCATTCGGAGCACCGTAAGTGCTATCAAAGTTTGCTACCATTATTATTGTCTCTTTGCTGTCAGATCATAGAGGCAAGTGGACACATCAACTTGCTTGGAATCCTCAGACTGCTTTAGGACCATGTTCTATCTGCACTGTTCTGTCCATCTAAAGCAAGAATCATTTGTTAGCTGCCACTGAGTTGGCCCCAACCCATGTACAACTGAACAAAACTCTGCCCAGTCTTGCATAATCCATCTCCTTGATAGGTTATGAATTGAATCATTATGATTCATAGGGTTTTCAGGGATTGATTTTTAGAAGTGGACTTCCAGGCATTTCTCCCCCAGTTTGTCTATGTGTAGAAACACCATTGAAATCTGTTCAGGATCCTAGCAACATGTAAGCTTTCATGAAGAGATAGGTAATGACTACATATGAGGTGCACGGCAAGGAATCAAGCCCAGGTCTCTCCAGGAAAGGAGGAGAGAATTCTACCTCTGAACCACCACTCTCTCATAAGCAGTGAGAGATATAAAAATCTTCCTTTAAACCCAACTAGATATCACCCTTTCTCATCTTCTCTCTTTTCCTTCACAGCAGAGATTTCTGAAAAACCACTGAAATGTTATTTTATCTAATTTCTCTTCCAACCACTTCTTAAACAATTACAAAGGCTTTCCATCTCCACTGCCTCATTGAAGCGCCATGGTTTTATTGACACAGTTGTTCAGTATTTTAAGTAATTGCTCCCTCTGTCACAGTTGTTAAACTGTGTTTAACAGTTTAATACATTCTCCCCCTATTTCCCTTCTGGTTTCTCTAGTCAACCTGTGAACTCTCTTCCTCTATACCCCTCAAATGTTCCCAGGCATTTTCCTCAGCATATTTTCCTTCTCACACTACACAGTCTCACTGGGTAACCTCATATGCTATATGCTGGTCACAGTTGTACCCAACATGCTAATTCCAACTGTCCCTTGGAGTGATCTTTATGTTTAATAACTCATTTCAGACATGGTGAAAACCTCAGTGTGTTCTTCTTCAGAAATTCCTACTTGTAGCCAATGGCTTCCTCATCCCCCCTGCCAAGTCAGTGCATCTAGAAATATGAATCCACACTAAATTCCTTGCTTGCTCTCACTTCCCACATGTTACTTGTCAATGAGTTCCACTGATCTCTCTGATCCATTCATTCTTTTCCATCCCACAGCCTCAACCTTTCATCACTGGGTCCTCTTCATCTGTACAGTGGCAAGAGTCTCCTAATTTTCCTGAATCCAGAGGGATTTCTTTTGTTTAACTTTTTATTATGAATTAGCTGAAAGTTTACAGAGCAGATGATCAGTTTTATAATCAACAAATCACACACTTTGTTTCAACTCATTGATTAATAATCCCCTCATTGTAACATCACCATGGAACTCTGGTATCTTAGTGGTTACGAATCCAGCTGCTAATCTCATGATAAACAGTTCAAAACTACCAGCTGTTCTGTGGGAAAAAGATGAGGCTTTCTGCTCCCATAAAGATTTACAGCCTCAGAAAACCTGTACAGGGTCGCTATGAGTCGGAACCAACTCCACGGCACACAACAACAACATTGTAACATCATTGAGCCTATTTTCTTTTTATGTTTCTTATTTCCATTCATTCTTTCTAACCCAAAGGAATTTAAAAAATATATTATTTCTATTCCTTTGAACCAGCTAATAGTAATTTTTTTTTTAACTCTTCTAATCTGTTTTTGCCTATTTTCTCCCTCTTCGATTCAGATATGCCCTGGATTCCTATCTTTAATAACTTTTTACTTCTCCAAAGGCCATGCTCTTTCATACATGTGAATTTCAGAATGGATTGTTCTTTTCAGTACCTCTCTGCTGCAAACATCTAAAGTAAGGAGACAAGATTACTACACATAGATTCAATGAATGGCTTCCTCAATACCAGTATTCAATGATGTGGAGAGAAATACAATATAAAGGAAACCAATGAATTTCCATCTACACCAATATGCTGAGATTACACAGCGAAACTCTTTTATAAAAAATAATAAATCATTCCAATTTTGTCTTGGTTGTGTTCCTGAGCTGAGCATTTCATAGTAACTCAACATGATTAAAATAAAAAGCACTTCATTTGTTCTCCATCTACTCATATCCTTCAGGAGGAAGATGCAGCTGTCTGCTCCTATAAAGATTTATATTCTAGGAAACCCAATTCTAATGAGTTGGAACTGATTCAAAGGCA